TCAGACCCTCGATTAGCCTGATAGTCCCATTGGGGGTCTTCACCTGGGATTGCTTCGGGGCCTAGGGGGATCTGGTTATCTATAGCATGGTCTTTATCTGCTTGGTTTCTGGCTGCGGCGAGGATGCGCTCATGCTCCTCCACTGTGAGGGTGAAGGAACAGATAATGCGAATATCATGCCAAGTGAGGCTGTAGGCTTGAGTGAGGTATTGGAATTCCTTAATATAGGTGGACGGGTCGGCTGAGAAGGATCCTAAACGTTTCTCAATTTGGGACAGGTCTTGGAGTGAGAAAGGAACATGGACCCTGATTAAACCTTCTGCGCCTGCTACTTCTCGGAGTGGGGCCAGGATAGCTGGCTGGTGGGAGCGGGTGTGTGCCGCCACCGGAGAGGCAAGAGGAAGTGCGGCCTCTGAGGGAGGGGGCTCGGAGGGAGTAGAGGGAGAGCGAGGCATGGCCTCCGAGGTAGGAGGTGCAGAGGGAGCAGAGGAAGAGCGTGCCGTTGATGGCGACTGATTGCTGAGATTGGCAGGAGAGGACAGATGTTCAGGCAGATCCTCCGGTGAGGAGTAGGGAGGGGGAGAGGTAGTGGACTTCTGGAGTGGGAACAAAGGGGGAAGACATGTGGTCAGGCATCTCTTCCTGTAGAGTATAGGGAGGTGGCTTGGTTGGGGAGGTAGGAGTCTGCGGTGGGGGAGTTCGGGCTAAAAGAACTTGGTGAGTGGAGCAAGAAGAGCAGAGGTCAGGATGGGAACGCAGGTCCCAAAAAGCCTGAACATAAGGCACTTCCTTATCTTTGCCAGTTCGGCGGCAAAAGTTATCTAGGTCGCGGAGCACATTTAAATCGAAAGTGCCGGTAGGAGGCCAATGCGACCTGTTATCGAGCTGATACTGGGGCCAGGCCACCTGGGAGAGGAAGACAAGCTTTTTCCGCCTAAGGGTTTTGGGAGTAGCCCAAGCGGGTAAAGTCGAGAAGTAAACAACCTAGTGGGGTGTTTTTAGGAATTTTGGACTCCACGCTCCCCATGATGCGTGCGGCAAAGGGTTCCTGCCAGCCGAGGGGGGTCTCGGAACAGTATCCGAGCTCGGAACAGTATCCGAGTGGGCTGGGGTAGTGTGGGGGGAGGCGTCCCTCCAACCCACCAGCTTCCCCAGAGGAAGGTGGATAGGAAAGACCAGAGAAGGCGTCCCCTGTCTGATCGTTCCTATTTAATGGTTTTGGATTGGGTGGGTCAGAGAAGGCGTCCCTTGTCTGCCGACCCAAGGCTCCTGGAGCCTGGTTGGGGGATCCTGCTCGGGCCGGCCGGCACTTGGCGAGGGATCCGTGGATTGGGACTGAGAGGAAGGGCCTTTGCCACACGCACCACGGAAGGAGAAGGTAAGAAACAGGACTTACCTGGTCCGGAGTGCTGAGGCCGAATTGGAGGAGGGCTGGGGAGGTTGCTGGAGGGAGGGGGTTGCTAGGGGGGCTAGCGACCCTCCGTCCCGGGTTTCGGCACCATATGTGCGACCCCCTTGTAGACCCCTGCCCGGTACCCGACCCCAAATAACAGCTCGAGAGTTGGAAGCCGAGTTCAGGTTTATTGGGACCAGCGGGCAGGCCAGGAAAGGAAGGAGATCGGGGCTGGCTGCGACTGCGCAGCTGGGGTAGGAGGGTTTTATAGGGGGGTTGGACGGGGCGTGGACACAGGGCTGGCGGAGTGTCGTAGGAGCTTAGGATAGGCTGTCCGTCTCTGGGCAGACTGCTGAGGTGGCTCAGAGGGTTACGTGTCAGTTCAGGATAGGCCGAGGCTTGGCGGGCTTTTCTCAGGGCAGCAGGAAGCCTGGGGGGAGGGTGGGGGCAAGAAACCTGGGGGAAAGATGGTGGGACTTTCTACCAAACAACGTCCAGCTAATTTTTTTTTGTTTTTGGGACGGAGTTGCCCAGGCTGCAATGTAATGGTGGGATCTCAGCTCACCGCAACCTCCGCCTCCCGGGTTCAAGGGATTCTTCTGCCTCAGCCTCCCCGAGTAGCTGAGATTACAGGCATGCGACACCACGCCCAGCTAATTTTGCATTTTTAGTAGAGTCGGGGTTTCTCCATGTTGGTCAGGCTGGTCTCGAACTCCGACCTCAGGTTATCCGCCCGCCTCTGCCTCCCAACGTGCTGGGATTACAGGGGTGAACCACCATGCCTGACTCAGCTAAGTTTTTAAAAACATGTTTAATAGAGATGGGGTTTTGCCATGTTGGGCAGGCTGGTCTCAAACTCCTGCCCTCAAGCAATCCGTCGGCCTCAGCCTCCCAAAGTGCTAGGATGACACGTGTGAGCCACTGTGTCCAGCCTGTTTAAAATGTCTTTTAGTGGGGTGATCTCAGAAACAAGGAGGGATGGGAAGAAGGTAGGCGTCGAGAAGTCTGCTGGTTGGAACACTTCATCTCACTGGTAAGAGCCCAGGGTTTCTCCACCTAAGCACTGTTGACTTTTGGGATGGAATAATCCTTTTGTGTGGGGTCTGTTCCATGCTCTGTAGGATGTTTGACAGCATCCCTGGCCTCCACCCAGTAGATGCCAGTAGCACACCCACTCCTCCAAAATTTGCAGAAAATCTCTTCAAAGTCAAATATGTTGCCCCACCTCCCTCTCCATCCCCAACCCCTGATTTAAATTTTGCCTCTACTAATGGTCACACTGGGAGCTATGGAGAATACACAGGACGGTAGTGCATGCCTGTAATCCCAACAGTTTGGGAGGCCAAGAACAGGCAGATGGCTTGAGCCCAGGAGTTCCACAAGGGCAACATAGCAATACCCCAACTCTAAAATAAATAAATAAAATTTTTAAAAATTAAAGGCTGAGCACATTGGCTCACACCTGTAACCCCAGCACCTTGGTAGGCCGAGGTGAGTGGATCACTTGAGGTCAGGGGTTCGAAACCAGCCTGGCCAACATGGTGAAACCCCATCTCTACTAAAATGCAAAAATTAGCAGGGCACGGTGGCACGTGCCTGTAGGTAGTCCCAGGTACTCGGGAGTCTGAGGCATGAGAATTGCTTGAACCCAGGAGGCAGAGGTTGCAGTAAGCCAAGATCGTGTCATTGCACTCCAGCCTGGGTGACAAAGTGAAATTACATCTTAAAAAAAAAAAAATCTCTTTCTTTATAAATTACCCAGTTTCAAGCAAGAGGAAATAGACTGAGACACCTAACATGTGAATTCTGATAAGATGGTGGCCTCACTGAGACAGAGGTATCTCTTCTGTGTTGGATGTGATGAGGCACTGAGGCCATGTCTCTGACTCAGAGAGCCACAATTGATACAAGATCCACTTGAGGAAGTGTGGAGTCCTGGATGTGGGTCAGAACCAAAGTGAACAGCACCTGCCTGATGGTCAGCATTAAGACCAGAGAAGGGGAACAAATAGGAAAGCGCAGAGACAGGGTCAGAAACAAACCGAGCACACACAGCCCTGCTGGGAGCCTCTCCAGGTGTTGCCTGCTCGCCTGGGTTCCAGGAGGCTGGCAAGGGTGGGAGCGTGCTCTGTGCCTCGTCTAGCCCTCTGTCACATTATCATAGCACTGTAAACCCCCAGAGCACACATCCTTTCCTCTATTCTCTGCGCTATCTGCACTGCCTACACAAGTCTGTGAGAGCAGAGGTCGGCAAAGACACTACAAGGCTGGGCACCGTGGCTCACACCGGTAATCTCAGCACTTTCGGGGGCCCTCGGCAGGAGGACTGTGTGAACCCAGGAGCTCCAGACCAGCTTAGGCAAGTTCCACAGTGCCTCAGGGCTTACTGATGGCTTAGAGACTATGGATGGCGTCCCCATGTTTGCTCCACAACTGCAATACAGAAGTTATTCTTCCATGGGAAGTAATTGGTTTTAACAACAAAGAAAACCTAGAGAGTCTCTGCTGGAGCCACACCCAGTCCCAGGCCCAGCCCCCATCCTCTGACCCTGTATCCCACCATCCCATCACCTTGCTAGGGTGTGAGTCTTGAATGGTGGGGGCCTGTTTAGTTTGCTTCTCAGGAAGCCTCAGACCACTGGACTCCACACTAAAGCTTCTTCCTGATAAAAATATTAGACAAGTTTAACAGAGTTTATTTGAGCAAAGAACATTCACCAGCCATACAACCCTCAGAACAGGAAGAGGTTTCAAGAGCTCATCTCCGCAATGTGGGCAGTGAGGATTTTGGATGGGTATGTTGAGAGTAAATCTTTAAGAGATTTATTCTGAGCCAAATATGAGTGACCGTGGCCCGTGACACAGCCTTCGGGTGGTCCTGAGAACGTGGCCCCAAGGTAGGTACGGTACAGCTTGGTTTTATACATTTTAGGGAGGCATGCAACATCAATCAAATACATTTAAGAAATGTATTGGTTTGGTTCTGAAAGAAGGGACAGCTCAAAGAGGGGGCTTCCAGGCTACAGGTAAATTTAAACATCTTCTGGTTGACAGTTGGTTGAGTTTATGTGAAGACCTCATTATGTGAGATCAACAGAAAGGAAATGTTCAGGGTAAGATAAAGGATTGTGGAAACCAAGTTTTATTGTGCAGAGGAAGCTCTCAGCAGACCTCAGAGTGAACGGGCTGTAAAATGTTTCTTACTGGACCTAGTGTGCCTGGCTCTTAATTGATTATCTCCTGGATCTGAAAAGTAAGAAAAATTATAAAGAAAAAAAAAAAAGAAAGTTGGCGGGGAAAGAGGATTCTCTGTAGAATGTGGATTTTTCCCATAAGGGATGGCTTTGCACGGCCATTTCAAGATACGGCAGAGAAACGTGATTTGGGGTAAGTAGTCTTATTTTCTTCCTTGTTATGCCAGTCAGATTGGAAAGTAACTCAAGATATTCAGTGTTAACTAAAACCCATCTGATGAGAATTTATGGTTTCTAAGGCATGACTCCCCAGACCCCTTAGATAGGAATTTGGTCAAGATAAATATAGATTCCTAAGTATGTATCTTTGAAGCATGGGTGGCCCCGAGAAACAGACCTCTCAGACACCAAACTAGAAAAGGAAGGGGTTTTATTATTACAGCCGGGGAGCAAGTCTTTCTGTTTTCTCCAAAAAGCCAAGCTCCCCTAACAAAGAGAAGCTCTGCCTTTATATAGGCTTACACTCTAGATATTACACCTGAAAGGATCTTAGGTTTACAGCCTTAGAAATTACAAGTGAAAGGGTCTTGGGTTTACAGCTTTAGAAATCACATATGAAAGGGTCGGGTTTAGAGCTTTAGAAGAAATCACATGTGAAAGGTTTGTGGTCTCCAGATGGAGGAGTGGGGTGGCGGTTTGATCTAGTTCACACAGTGCCTTCTGGAGCAATTCCCCCATACCACGCCTGCTATCTTACAGGAAGATGATTCGGGAAGTGCCAGTTGGCCAGCCTGTTCTTCCAGTGCAGCAGGAGGTGAGCGGCAGGCGGGGCAGCGAATGAAGCTTCCTGGATATTTACAACCCCTGCCCATGGGTGGGATCGCATGCAGTGTGGAAGTCAAGTGAGCAGTGATCCTAGATGCCTGGGTCTCCTTCCACATCATAGCTGAGTCCTTAGGTAAAAGCAGAAACAAAGAACAAAAAGCAAATTGGTAGTTTGAAAGTTGCTTTCCTTGTAAAGGTTAAAACAGAGGAGACTCCCTTGTCATGCCAGCTAAAGCTGGCCTGTCTGGAAATTTGACTTTTCTCTCTCTCTCCTGATCGCTCAGGTCAGCTAACTTAGTTCCAGTTTGGTGACAACAAACTTTAGCAGGAGGGACTTGGTTTGGTCTGTTAGAGCTGGTGCAGGAGCTCGGTGGAAATCAATCGCCTCCTATAAATGTTATTTACATTCCTATTAAAGGGAGAGGAGGCCAGTGGTGAAGCTCAGCAAGAGAAACACTCTATAAAGAAAATCTGCATCCGTAATGGTGTCCTCCCTCTCTGTACTGCGAAGGAAAGGATGAGTAAGTCACTGGAAATTCTTAACGCGGAAAGCGCAAGCTCGATCTGCATCACAGACTTTGGCTTTGGTTGACCCTGCACCTCCTGGCCAGGTAGTCCTAAGGGAGGAGATGAGGGTGTTCTGGCCTATGCCCTTTCTTTGTCAGGGAATGATGGTAAGTCTGAAGCTAATTCTTTGATATCTACTCTTGCGTTGTCTCCCACGCAGTTATAAGGTAGTCATGTTAATTAACTTCTTTGCTTTTCTCTTGTTAATCTATCTTTTGTTCTAGCAGTCCATCTCAACCAAGAACTCAGAGAGGAAAAATACCTTTTTTTCTCCCCCAAACTAGCCTGCCACTATCCGCTGGAAGCCAGGCAGCAGCAGTGAGACTACAAGGGGCAAAGAGAATCCAGGAACTGCGTCTCTCAGAAGGCACCCTCTCTCCACACTCATTTATACTATGGCTTAATGCCATGCTCCCGGAGCCTCCGCAAAATCAATCACAAATTACAGTGCATGCCCTTCCAGGCTTCTGTCAAATAACTGAAATTGTCCCTGTCTGTTTAAAGGCAAGGTGCACCTTGCCTGCTGGCTAGACAAGAGCGGATCTATCAGGACAGGGGAATTGCAACAGACAAAGAGCAATTTCACAGAGCCCGCTGAACAAAGATGGGAATCTTATTATTACTCAAATCATGCTCCCTGAGCATTCAGGAAACAGAATTGTGAAGGATAATTTGATGGGTAAGGGGTGGGGTCAGGGAGTGCTGATTGGGTCGGAGATGAAATCATAGGGAGTTGAAGCTGCCCTCTTGAGCTGAGTCAGTTCCTGAATGGAGGCCACAAAATCGGATGAGCCAGTTTATCAAAGAATCTTGGGTGGTGTCGGCTGATCCATCAAGTGCCAGGTCTCCAAAATATCTCAAGCATTGATCTTAGGTTTTACAATACTGTTGCTATACCCAGGAGAAATTTGGGGAGGGTCAGAATCTTGTAGCGTCTAGCTGCATGACTCCTAAACCATGATTTCTAATCTTCTGACTAATTTGTTAGTCCTACAAAGACAGTCTAGTCCCTAGGCAAGAAGGGAGTTTGTTTTGGGAAAGGGCTGTTACCATCTTTCCATCAAACTATAAACTAAGTGGGAAAAGTAAAAAGGTCCTCTTAAAAGTTTCCTTTTTTGTTAAAGAATAACTAATGTGATAGAAATAATCATTTCTGGAACAAAAAACACTGACTGCCTTCAAGTTTCCTTGCTTTTTGCTAGTAACTCCTTGTTAAGCCCTATGTAGCTGCTAAATATAGTAACGGAATAGTACATTCTATGTCCTTCTACTTCTTTTTTTTTTTTCAGACGGAGTTTCGCTGTTGTTACCCAGACTGGAGTGCAATGGCGCGATCTTGGCTCACCGCAACCTCCGCCTCCTGGATTCAAGCAATTCTCCTGCCTCAGTCTCCTGAGAAGCTGGGACTACAGGCGCGCGCCACCACGCCCGACTAATTTTTGTATTTTTTGTAGGGACAGGGTTTCACCATGTTGGCTAGGCTGGTCTCAAACTCCTAACATCAGGCAATTCACCTGCCTTGGCCTCCCAGAGTGCTGGGATTACAGGCGTGAGCCACCATACCTGGCCGCCATGTTATTTTTGTAAAGATAAGAAAGAAAAAAAGATTTTTTAAATCTCAGGGTTGGAGAGGCAGGAGTGGTCAGCAGTTCACTCACCAGTGCTTGTGGACTTTGTTCTCTTCCTGGAAAGGGATGGAGAATTCCAGGTCCAAAGGGAGCCTCTGCCGTCCACAGTTCTGAGCTTCAAGTCACTAGGAGTTCTTTAAAACTTGTGTGGTGAGACTCCGATGTTGTCCTCAGTTCCCAGGCTGAACTCAGCAGATCAGCCCATGAAAACTTCTGTATTGAGACAAAAGGAGAGAAACTGTCAGAAAGCAACACCTATTGTCCTGGTGTCGACACCAAGGAAGAGGACAGGTAACAAAGAAGTTGAAGACAGCTGATGGAGCGAGATATAACATTCCAGCTCCTCGATCTAGAAACCCTGGCAGGACCAACAACAGCTTCATAGACCAGGCTGGGCGTGGTGGCTCACGCCTGTAATCCCAGCACTTTGGGAGGCCGAGGCGGGTGGATCACCTGAGGTCAGGAGCTCGAGACCAGCCTGGCCAACATGATGAAACCTTGACTCTACTGAAAATATAAAAATTAGCAGAGGGTGCGGTGAGCCGAGATCACGCCACAGAGCTCCTGCCTGGGCAACAGAGCAAGACTCCATCTCAAAAAACGAAAAACAAAAACAAAAAACAGGCCCAAGGTCAGAATCCCCAGTCAAGATTCTTCGTGAGAAAAAAGACAGCATTATAACTCAGCAGCAGCTGTAGGGCAGGCCATGCAAGATGAGGAAAGAACAAAAATGTTCCAAATAATCAAAATTGGAACTCTAACTTTTCAGGTCCCAGCTTACTCTGTCAATCTCAAGCTAATCAGAACTTTGCCAGGGTCAAATGTAGTGACCATCCAACACCAAGGGTTCTTCCCAAACCACCAAGCTGTTTCCTTTAATTCTTCAGATAAGGAAATAATGACATTTTAACCTAAGTCCCTACTTGAAGTACAGGGACAAAAGAAAATACTAATGGCTACGTTTAGCTATGTTTACAGATAATTGTCAATTGGTCTAAAACAAATTTACCGAGGGATTATTGTATATATGTAGAACTGTTAATGTGAAAAATATTACTGACTTCATCTCATTTGTTTTATACGTTAGGTGCCCTGTGATGTAATGACAGCATCAGTGCAACTTAAAGTAACTAAGTTAAAAATTGCACTTACTATTCAGTGTTCTCAAATAATTTTTTGTTTGTTTTTTTACACAGAGTCTTGGTCTGTTACCCAGGCTGAAAGTGCACTGGTGTGATCTCAGCTCACTGAAACCTCTGCCTCCCGGGTTCAAGTGATTCTCGTGCCTCAGCCTCCTGAGTAGTTGGGATTACAGGCGTGTGCCACCATGCCTGGCTAATTCTTTTATTTTCAGTAGAGATAGGGTTTCACCATGTTGGCCAAGCTGGTCTCAAACTCCTGACCTCAAGTGATCCACCCTCCTTGGCCTCCCAAAGTGCCAGGATTACAGGCATGAGCCACGGTGCCCAGCCTCAACTGAGTAACTTTTAAGTGAAACCATTCAAGTTTAGATTTGGTGACTGGAAGGCAATCAACGTTTTCTCTTGAATGTTCGGGGGAAAATGGTAATATAAGATTATTATTCATGGACAGCAGGTTGTGGAAAGTGAATCAGATTATAAACATCTAGCTAAGACACAGGACTGAGAAGTAGGTAAACTTCTGAAAGTTCGGTATACTAGAATCACTCAAACCAGTAAGATGCCAACAACCTGATGAAATCTGGTCTTACTAAAATACACAAAAATTTGCCAGGCGTGGTGTCACGCACCTGTAATCCCAGTTACTCGGAGGCTGAGGCAGGAGAATCGCTTGAACCCTGGAGACAGAGGTTATAGTGAGCTGAGATCGTGCAACTGAACTCCAGCCTGGGTGACGGAACAAGACTCTGTCCATAAATAAATAAATAAATAAATGACGTGAACTCCTGCGTAACACCTTGATAACATGTTTTTACAAACCCTAAAGGTGAATGCTTAATCTGTTAACCCAATAGCAAGTTAAATAAAATGTGAGTCCATTTAAAATTTTGGCTGGTTCGGTTGGCTCATGCCTGTAATCCCAGCGCTTTGGGAGGCCAAGGCGTTTGGATCAGCTAACATCAGGAGTTCAAGACCAGCCTGGCCTTGTAGAGGCCTTTTAGTAGAGACACAATGAAACCTTGTCTCTACTCAAAATAGAAGAAATAGCCGGGTGTGGTGGCGCACACCTGTAATCCCAGCTACTCGGGAGGCTGAGGCAGGAGAATCGCTTGAACCTAGGAGGTGGGGGTTGTGGTAAGCACCACTGCAATCCAGCCTGGTTGAGAGTGAGAGACTCTCCCTCAAAAAAGAAAAGAAAAGTACTTCAGGGAAGAGATGTGAATGAAGAAACGATAGGTGCTAGGTAAAAAAATAATTATTATTATTCACTGATCCTGAAACATTTTAAATAATTACATCAAATTTATGTTGATTCCAAGAACAGTGTAAAATATCACATATTGTTAAATTTGTTATGACTATGCTAATAAAAATACATTATACAGTCGATGTGTACTTTATTGAAGATTATTCATCAAAATAATGTTCTCAAGGGGAAGTCTATTTGTACCCAAAAACATCAAGTCATCCATCTTACCTCAATGACATACTTCTCCAAAGACTTGACATCTTTAAGAGCGTCTGGATCTTGATGAATAACCACAATTTCTTTCAAAGGATACTAGGAGGAAAAGGGAGGTGAAAGGTCACTCAGCAGCCAGTCCTCTAAACTGCAGAAAAATGAAGATTAAATTTTTATTCGAACCTCAAGCACTAGACTAGTCAGGCTGGACTAGTACTAACTCATTCACTCCCTCACTGCAGTAAAGAAAAAAGGCCATTGCTGGAAGCTCTCTATATTAAGAGAATACCCCAAAGACTTAAATGTTTAGGTCGGTGCCATGTAAAACAGAAGTAAAATTTCAAACCTTTATGGGAATAGTTTTGCGGTCTCTGATCACTCACTCCAGTTCAATCGCAGACTGCATCCGAGGTATTGCACTCTGTGTTTTCTTATCAATCAATTCTTCTCTGAATGGTAGAGGTAGGAGTCTGAAAGAGATTAGATTGAAAAGGAAAATTCAAGACATTAGGCCTGCTTACGTGAGGAAGAGGGTCACGCTACGAAAGTGTGGCCAGGCCCTCCTGATGAGGCACTGGGGGAAGGGCAGCAAGCACAGTGCCCGCCTGGGGGCCAAACAGAGACGGAGGCAGCAGCCTGAGCCTGCCTCCGTACCCAGCACCTCCCTAAGGAACCCCACGGGGCATGCCCACACCCCATGTGCTGCAGTTCTACAACGGGGTTCTATACCAAGCATCCCTGCTACCATGTAGTGATGTAGGCCCCATCATGCAGCCTGAGGAGGGGTTCACGTCAGCTGGGGGCTAGGGTGGGAGGCAAGGCACACAGGGAGCTGGAACAGGGAAATGCCTCCTCTCCCCTACTTTGGCACAGGTGAGACATTTCTATTTGACACAGCTGAGACATTTCTATTTGATTCCTACCGAACACGGAGCACCATGAGGTAGTAGATGCTGAGAGTGTCCTTGTCTTGAAAAGAAACAGGGTCAATCAGCACCTTTAGATTCTGGTACATAATTCGGTGAGCAAAAGGCAGTGTAGGGAGCCTGTAATGAAGACACAGGACATCATGTCAGTCATATGCAGTCATCAACAACTGACCTCATTTACACTGAGAAACAACTCAACATGTTAGCAACACAGTAACATGCACCTGAAATGGACATGAGGTTACAAAACACGCCCCATGAAAGAGAAATGGCCTCAGAGCCCTGAAGCACAGCTGTAGGACTATAGCCTAGAAAAACCCAAAGCATCTCTAGAATTCTGAAGGATGTCTAAAATAGAAACAGGAGAACCTAATGATAGATCAGCCAAGTCCATATGCACAGAGGACTTGATCTGTCCCAAACCTCAGAAGCCTCATCTGTAACCTAGGGAAAACATCCTCTGCTTCACGGGATGAAGGAGATGACATCAGGTATGGAGACGATCAGGCACAGGACCTTGTACAAAGCAGATTTTCCTTCAGTGAAGGAAATAACTGGGATCCTTATAAAGAGATAGAGGAGCAGAAACAGGGTAGAAAGAAACTTGAAGGTTTTCCACTTTTATATTATTTAACTAATATTTGAACTGACAGGAACATATATCAAACAACTACTTGCATGTTTTCCTCTCAACGCTATAAGTCAAAGTATTTTTTAAGAAATATTTGCTAGGACAGGTGTTAGCCAAAGAACTTCCCCCTTATTCGCAATTACGCCAATCCACATTAAGATGAGGTATGTCTTTCTTTGTACCGTGGATCCTCCTTCTCGAGCCAAGGGCCCTGACATACACTATACTACCAGAGATTGGAAGAAAACATCCAGTATTTCTTAGTCCTTACTTAACATGTATAAGCTAATAAGATTTCTGAAAAGAAACTACAGCTATAAGCTGCTATATAAAACATCCATTTCTGTTTTTGGTGGAATAACAGAGAATAGATACAAAAGTAGGACGCCACAGCAAGTGGGTACCGAAGGCAGCACGCAGGCCAAAGGGTACTAGAAAGAAGCCACCCATCTTACCCTAAGTCTGCAAAGAGAAAGCAGAACACTAAACAAGGTTTCTGGGGCCATGACACAATCTTCCATCCCATTTTCACCTTAAAGAATAAAAATGAGGGCTGGGCGCGGTGGCTCATGCCTGTAATCCCAGCACCTTGGGAGGCCGAGGTGGGTAGATCACGAGGTCAAGAGATCAAGACCATCCTGATCAACACGGTGAAACGCCGTCTCTACCAAAAATACAAAAAATTAGCTGGGCATGGTGGCGCGTGCCTGTAATCCCAGCTACTCGGGAGGCTGAGGCAGGAGAATTGCCTGAACCCAGGAGGCGGGGGTTGCGGTGAGCCGAGATCGCCCAATTGCACTCCAAACTGGGTAACAAGAGCGAAACTCCGTCTCAATTTAAAAAAAAAAAAGAATAACAATAATAAAAATGAAACAGAAACTTTAAACTGCTAAAATAAGTGTTTATCATTAAAAAAAAAAAAAAACAGTTGATTAAAAAGAGGCAACCCTCAAAGAGCATGCAGTACACAGAGAGGGCACTAAGGCAGAGTAGGAAGAAAGGGCCATGACCACAGGCTGTCTAGGGTGGCCCCGCAAGGCAGTGCAGGAAGCCTGGCCAGGATGTGCAGCTGCTGTCCTCTATCCCCACCTGAGGCGAGCTGATAGGAAAGTAAAGCCTAACCGTAGGACCAAAAGGCTGAGAGGCAGAATGGATCTACCCACAACAGACAGAAAAAGCTGCTAACTGAAAACTTTAAAGTGCCTTTAAATAAGATATTTTATGTTAAAAAAAAATGTATCCACTGTATATTAAAAAAAAACCAATTCATTGTAGGAAAAATGAAGATAATGAAAAAATTTCAACCATGAATACCTTATCCAAGATAACTACTAGTACACATCCTAGCATATGTCCTGGACATGTGTGTATGAGATACACCTGCACAAAAGCCAAATGATAGTTGTGTTGCAGGGTTTTATTATTAATGCATTTTAAGCCATGACTGGCTGCGTGCGGCGGCTCACATAAAGTCAGGAGTCCAAGGCCAGCCTAGCCAACATGGTGAAACCTGTCTCTACTAAAAGTACAAAAATTAGCTGGGCGTGGTGGCACACACTTGTAATCTCAGCTCCTCAGGGGACTGAGGCAGGAGAATCACTTGAACCCGGGAGGCAGAGGTTGCAGTCAGTTGAGATCCTGCCATTGCACTCCAGCCTGGGTGACAAGAGTGAACCTCTGTCTCAGGAAAAAAAAAAAAGACATGACTAATGGGTGGTGGGAGCCTTTACTGGGCCTACGGTAAAGAGACTTCACCCTCCCTGTTATACATCATTATTATTTATGTACCTTGCTGAAGTCCTGAGACCAGGACTTATGCTCTGTTCATCCCAAACCCACAACAGCTACATAGCTCGGTCCACAGTGAAATAACCAACTCCCTCGTGGTAAAAGGAAGGTGCTATCCCTCTCAATATTAAAGCCATACCTGCCAATATTTTTATAAAATATTTGCGTGATTTTATTTCAAATGTTAAGAGGTCTGCTCAGTTTAGTCCTGTTCGTGCTCTGACATTCTCCCTCCAATATATGTACGTAATTGTGTTGTGGAAAAAAAAAAATGCAAAATGACTTTTAGAACTTATACATCCCTATGCCTCAAATGACAAATACAGTTAAAATGCAATGTGAAAGGAGAAGAAAAACAGAGCTTCAAAAACTGAGAGCATCTGAAAATGTTCCTTTCCCTCTGGGCTATTCTCATACTTCTTCTACTCTCAAACTTCACGGGCTTTTTTTGCCTTTCTCAACGGCAGTCTGCACTTACCTTTAATCTTCTGTGGTTCACTCTAATGTACCAATCGGTGAGAACAGGTACAAACTTGACAAGGCGAGGCACCACAGCATAAAGCCTATCAGCTAAAAAAAAATAAGACAAGTCAATCAGGCAGCAAGTGAGTACCAGGCACCTGTGGGGGAGAGGGCTGGATGTAACAAAGAACAGGCCAGCGTCTTCTACCCAAGGGCCTCCACTTACTAAGAACCAAAATGAAGCAATCAGGGAACGACCATTTGTTGAGGATGTGCTACATGGCAGTCAAGGTATTTCAAGGTGCACACAAAAATACCATCCTATGAGCCACATGAGAATTCCCATTGGTCCATGAAAAAAGCCAAAAACTCCAAGATGTGTGGATCCGAGTCCAAGGCTGCCCACTACGTAAGTGTAGGAAATACCGTTTACAGGGAGGTGCGCGATTTGACAGCATACACAATGCCCAACTCCTTTCTAGTGCGGTACATCGTACTGCAACGAAAAGACATACAAAAAGCTCAAATCAGATGCTAAAAGGCATAGCACAGGCCAGTGGTTCTCAAATAGCAACTTTGCCCTGCCAGGAACGTGTGTCAATGTTTTCAGAAACAGTTTGCTTGCCCCAACTCGGTGGGTACAACGGTGCTACTGGAATCTAATGGGTAGACACCAGAGATGGTGCTCCACATCTTATAATGCACAGCACAGCCCCACCACAGAGGATCATCTGGCCCAAACTGTCCAGAGTGCTGCCATTGAGAAACTGGCACAGAATATGAGTAAAATATAACTTGCTAAGTATTAAAACGGGTCAAGTAAAAACAGCGAAAAGTGGTAGCGAAAGTCTTGAGGAATTAGGGATTTGAAGGGTTCCCTAAAAAACTCAGAGGTCAGACAAGGAAGAAAGGGTGTTTAGCCAGTCGTGTCTGAGGCGAGGCTTATTTTAAGGATTCTCATTCACCTCCCCTTTAAATTAAAACTCTGTGGCATAAAAACAAACACCAAAAGACCAACACTTGGAAACAAACACAATTTAGGATCATGAAAAGAAACCAGGGAGTTCTCATGAGGCTTCTGGTCTAAGCTAAATAGATGAGAAGTTGCAACGGGCAGAGCTGCTCTCTGCTGCTGTTCACAAAGACCAGAACTCGGGTGCCAGGGGGCTGAGCCCCAAGCCAGCGTCCTCAGCTGGTCACACTTTCCTCGACAGGTGACTTCAGTGACTGAGGTCTGTCTAAATGATTTCTAGGGTTCACGCCACTGTTTACCTTCCAGGAAGCTCAGGTTTTCTATATTCTGGTTTCAACTCTGAGGGAATAATGATCCCCACATGCGATGAAGGAACTTACAACATACGGGGGCAACAGCAGCGGCCACTACCCAGGCCACCGCCACCCTGTGAGCCAGGTCCTCTCACACCCGCAGTGCTGCTGAGGGAGTGGAGGGTATTAAGTTGACAGGCTGGCAGAGTTAAGACTTAAGTAGGACCCACACAACCTGGCTGCTCATCTCTAGTTACCAGGCAGATGAGGCTCCAGTCAGGGTACACACTCTCCAGACCCAGCTTCACCAGGTTATGGCAGCTGCTCCAAGCAACAATCCCCACATTTCCCACCCACTCGTATCACTCAGGAGGGAAAAGTAGACACAGCAGCGAGCAGTCTGGGCAGTGTGTGCTGGACTCCCAGTGCTGCCCTCCTCAGGGCAGGAATCACCCTCACACTCACTTCCCTCTTCATCCATGAACATCTGAGCAACAGCCGGCCTGTCATGATCCTTCTACATGTTTAACGAGGTGGACAAATCCTTTAGGGTGATTGATTAACAGTCTTTTTGTGCTACGTGGGGCAGTACTGCCTTTTCCAGGGAGTGGCGTGTGCCAGTATACAGGCTAATGGTGAATCCCAGGTCTGTGGCGGCCACTGCTCTGCCCAACAGCAGCAGGATCTGCAGGGTCCTGTGAGGATGGATTTGCCTTGCCCTCTTTCATCCTCACTGTGACCCAGGGCCTCTGCCTGCCCACTCTAACTGATTGTCTGAGGTGTCCCAGATGTCTCACCTGGACCTATGATTGTAACTATCTGAAACACTGAGGAACTCAACACAGTGTAGTTTGGAATCTCTATAAAATTATCTAACAAACTTACTGTTGTTATTTAATAGAAATAGAGCAGTATGTCCATTTCATGATTGCTCTTCTGACTTTTCTAATTTTCTGGAAAAGATGGGGACTATTCAGTAATAGACCTAAAAATAAGTTATAAATGTCAAAACAAGTATTATTTATTGAGTACCCATTATCTGCCAGCTACCTTATGTAAATCATCTCTACTTAAGCCGTACAAACAGTACTGGGCATTTTGCAGATAAAGACACTGAAGGTCAAGATAGAGTGGAGGATTAGCAGCTGATGGTACGACGGGATGATTACAGTCAACAATAATTTCTTGCACATTTAAAAACAACTATACTTGGGATGTTTAAAGATACAATAAATGCTTGAGATGATGGATACCACATTTACCCTGATGTGATTATTACACATTGTGTGCCTGTCTAAAAATACCTCACATACCCCATAAATTTATATATATATCTATGTACCCATAAAAGTTAATTAAAAAAAAAAAGAAAGAATGAAAAAAAAGAAACTGATGGTCAGACTTTAGGCAACTCTCTGGATTGAGAATAAAGTACAGCTGGGCTCTGAATCCACAGCTATCGAACTCCAAGGCTCTTCTGCGGAGGGTTGAGCTCCTCAGGATACCCCCTAAAGACAGAATTGCTCAGGGCTTTATTTCTTCTTTTAAAGATGGAGTTTCAATCTTGTCACCCAGGCAGTAGTGCAATCTCGAGTCACCGCAGCCTCCGCCTCCCAGGTTCAAGCGGATTCTACTGCCTCAGCCTCCTGAGTAGCTGGGACTACACATGCCCGCCTACATGGCAAGCTAACTTTTTCTTTAATATATTTTTAGTAGAGACGGGATTTCACCAATGTTCGCCAGGCTAGTCTGGAACTCCTAACCTCGGGTGATCTGCCTCGGCCTCCCAAAATGCTGGGGATTACGGGTGTGAGCCACCAAGCCAGGTCAGAATTCCCCAGGGCCTTGAAACAAAAAGATCCCAACAATTAAAAAGCCTTAACAAAACTACATTTGAGAGGTGAAAGGAAGTCATTATTTCATTTTCTGTATCTCTCCATCTTTCCACTATGTTTATAGACAGATAAATACCCAAAGGGCAGTTACAAAGAGAGCGGTGCTGGGAGGACAGACCAAGAGACACTCACCTGCCATTTCAGTCTCAAAGAAGCCAATGAGAGACTGCAGGAAGGACAGGATCCACTGGTCTGTAACGTTGGGGCTTTTTCTAACCGTCTTCTCACCGTAGAGAAATTCTCTTTCTTCTTCCTAGGAATGAACAATCAGTTAAACACTTGCACATTGGGGTAAGCTGCTATAGAAAAATAAACTTTTTAATCACTTAAACTAAAACAAAAACAAAAATCCCAAAGCTTGCCGGCAATGTGAATTTCTGATTTTCGGCATTATTTTCAAGATAAGCACCAACGTAGGACGTTAAGTCCTCAATTATGTTTTTGAGTGAACCGAAGAGAGTTTAGGAAAACATTACTTTTCGGCACCAAACAGTAATGAAGAATTGAGAGACAGTCTAAAACCTTGTCAGGAAGTGCAGGGTTTGGTTACTTTAAACCTCAGGAAGGAAGGACAGTCAAACTGTCTAGGACTAAATGACTGTCCGCAAACTGAAAATAAGTACTGAGAAGTAGCTGCCATGCTAAAGCTGTTCATGTTACCCGGAATGTTCTATCCCGCCCTGTGCAAAATCCTCCTTGATCTTAAGTCCCTGCTCCGCACACACAACTCATGTCCTGCTTTCTCTCTCTTGTGGCAGCACCACAAGCACAAGCAGGCTCTAGCACAGATCTCTTAGCTCCAGCACAGATATATCTGACATGGCTGTGTAGGTACAAAATTAAAATAGATGATGAAATAGAATTCGAATACCAACAAGACAGGGAACCCAGAAAGGAAGTAAGGCAGAGGCAATCCGCATCTAGCCTGGGGAGGACTTGGACAGCCCGACCACACCCAACAGAGGTCCTCTTCCCCAAACAGACCTCCAGGTTTAAAAATGCCTTTATTATCTAAAAAACTATTTGGGGAGTTGAAGATCAACAAGCATACCAACAGGATGCCCAAATGTGTTCTTAAAAACCTAACTATAAACCAAATAAAGAATTCTGACTAATAGTATAGAAGACACTTACATAAAAAATAATAAATACACACAAGGCAAAGCACCGGTTTGTACCTGAGCACGCCGGCACCACACTTCTGGATGAAGGAAACTGGATCTGGATGATTCTTTGTTCATTTGCTCATTTTTTGGCCATCGCTTGTAAAACAAAGGGGAGACGCCAATTAAGTCAGTCAGTATCACAGATGATCTTGATAGAAGGATACAAAGCGTTTGCAAACAGGAATACAAAAGAGGAAATGGAAAGGAGTAACTGAGAAGTTAGCGTTAATAGGCCAGTCACAGTGCCTCACGCCTATAAGCCCAGCACTTTGGGAGGCCGAGGCAGGCAGATCACCTGAGGTCAGGAGTTCGAGACCAGCCTGGCCAACAGAGTGAAACCCCGTCTTTTATGAAAAAAACAAAAAAAATTAGCTGCGTGTGGTGGTGCACACCTCTAATCCCCACTACTGGGGATGTTGTTTTGGTAAGTTTACCATGATTTTGCTTGAATTGCTCTCCATCAATCTTCTCAGCAAAGACCGAGGTGAGCTGCACAGTGGAAGAGGGCTGCGTGTAAGAAATCAGCTCTGGGCCGGGCGCAGTGGCTCACGCCTATAATCCCAGCACGTTGTGAGGCCAAGGCGGGTGGATCACGAGGTCAAGAGATCGAGACCATCCTGGTCAACAAGGTGAAACCCCATCTCTACTAAAAATACAAAACTTAGCTGGGCATGGTGGCGCGCGCCTGTAGTCCCAGCTACTCGGGAGGCTGAGGCAGAACTGCTTGAACCCAGGAGGCGGAGGTTGCGGCGAGCCGAGATCGTGCCATTGCACTCCAGCCTGGGAATCAACAGAGAAACTCTGTCTCAAGAAAAAATATATGCATATATATCTTTCACCCAAAAAAAACCTGAAAGCACTTGCAGACAGCAAAAAAAACCTTCCTTATCCTTTTGTTTGTATAATATATCTCTGGAAAGATGAAAAAGAATCAGAATACTCGTTTGTTACAGGAAAGAAAATGTTGTGGACAGGAAAAATGTGGGAGAAAGACTGGTCCACTGCCTATTCCACTGTGCACAATTTGAATCTGGAACCATGCAAAAGTATTGCTTCGGTAAATTAACATCATTTAAAAGATAAAAAAAATAAACATTTAGTACCAGCACAATATGCTGGGAAACAAAATGAAAGGCTTTCTGGCCGCACAGCCACTCTTTGCCAGACCCAGGCTTTCTAGTAAAGGGTTTGTACCTGAACCAGGCAGAGGATCCAGACGTGGATCGTCTGACAAACACAAGGGTTCTTAGGAAGTGTGCTTAATTGCGTTCAGGACCTGTAGCCCCTGTTGAGATTCATCGAGAGTGGGAAAGAGCCCAAGTGGGAAGGAGCATGGGTTGAGGGACACAAAAGTAGGTCTGCTGACAAAGAATGGAAGTAAAGGGGACAGCAGGTTGAAGCTTTGTGCTGTGACCCAGAGGGACAACTTAAAATTTGCCTAAGGAGGCGCACAGAGTATGCGCTGCTGCCCTCCGGCTGGAAGGAAACCTCAGTTCTTGCCTACCGGCTGGAGCCCTTCACAGAATGTCCCCCACCCCTACCAGTACCTGCTGCGCCGCCCCTCCCCCTCTGCAGAATGTCTGGGGTCCTACATTCTAAACCTACTCACTTTCAAATTTTCACCCATCTACCTGAACTCAGGAGAGTCTGTTGAGGCAGGTCACTCTCTGGGTCCTGCCCTTGACTTCGCTTTGTGGAAACTGTCAGATAGTCTGAGGACATGGCCTCAAATGGAGGTGAGTCTGTAGAAACAGGGGCATCATCCAAGTCTCTGCCATGTTTCAAATCCTTAAGAATTCAAATTTCACACAGCCCAAGGGGACAGTTGGTAGGGCTAGTGTCGAGGAGGAAGGGAAATCTAGATGTTCCCAAAGACACCACACCTGGGGAGGGCCATGGAACCGAGTCTGTACTTAGGCAGGACGGCTCCTTGGAGGTGGACCAAGATGCCTGGGGGAATACACCATGTAGGGGAAAGGATAAAGTGGATGTACTGATTCTTTCTAGAGGGGGACAGGTCACGTCACCGTGTGTTTGTAGGGAGTAGTGGGATCTGGGATCATGTTGTGCTGGTGGTCCAGGGAGGATGACAAGGAAGCCTGTGAGCCCTGTGTTGTGCCTTCAGGCACCTGGAAGGTGTCCTTCCATAGTGTTCAGAGGGATTTGGACTGGAGTTTTCTGGATCTCAGGGGGGAGTGGGGAAAAGTGGTCTCAGCCAGAAAACCGTTGGGTGTGTTGGCTGTGACAGAGCATGCAGTGACAGCCTCTGGGTGGGTGAGGCTGGGGCCACTGTAACTGCCATAGACTCTTAACTCCCTCCCCAGAGGAGGCTTCTCCGTCAGTTCAGGTGACTGTTGGCTTTAACAGGGGTGGCAACAGTTGGGGAAGTTCAGGCAACATGGCCTGGGCTTCCGAGCTTGTTCTGAATTGTTCGTCCTTTTGGGGAAACTCAGGTCTTCAGACCCACTTCCTCTTGTCTGCTAGCTCGTGGCCTGTCCTCTGCACTTTGTGTTACTCTGGAGAGGAAGAATTTGCTTCTATTCCATGTCTACTACCTCATCAACAGGGGACAGGTGTGGACTCTTGCTGATTCTCAGTGCAAGGGTCTATAAGACTGGTTTCCTTTTCAGTCGAGGAAGGAGAGTACCGCACAAATAGGAAGAGGGTCCGCTTATTATTGTTATTATTCAATTAGGATGTGTGTCCTGACTGATCCCTATCCCCCTTGACTGGAGACTGCATAAGGTCCCAGTGAACAGGGATGAGCTCCAGACAACTTTGCCACACTGGGCCTATGGCCCAAGAACCTCTGGTTTTTGGTTGGTTACTCTATTGAGTTACTGGGAGCTCAAAGGAAAAAAACCAGAGATGGGCTCGTTGTCAAACGACCTAATGTAACATGACGAGCAGCTGTGAAAATCCCTGGACACCTCCCCTGACAGCCCCACTGCTCACTGCTTGCTGGCTGTGCTCTCACCGTGGGCCGCTGTCGCTGCTGCTGTTGTTGGCTACCTGATGACAGTATCTCAGGGAACTCCACCACTGCTTCTCAGACCTGCTCCCTGGGAACAGAGCTTCCCTACTGGCAGCCAGGACCGCCGAGCACTGAGCAAAGTGTAGCCTGACTCTGACCCATATTTGGCACTTGCTGGGCATGGTGCCAGAACAATCACTTGCACGCTGGATGTGATACGTCTGGGTTATCTTCAGGGTTCACAGGGTGCTGGCTTGGGAGAGATTTCCATCCAGTGGTTTTCTTTCACCGTTTCTTTTTCAAGATGGAGTCTTCCTCTGTCACCGCGGCTAGAATGCAGTGGTGCAATCTTGGCTAAATGCCAGGCTCTGTAGTGAAGCGACCCTCCTGTGGAGAAGGAACAGAGCACGCGATGCACACTCGGGGACACTTGCAAGCTGCACAGTTTCCCTGTCACACGCCCTCAGCTGAAGGACACCCCTCTGATTCCCCAGTGACTAGGGCAGACCTGGAGACCCCAGCTCATTCACCTCTTTCCTTTGTCTCCACAGCATGCCCAGTGCTGGAACCAGCTGTGACCGAGAAACCTGGCGCCTCCGTGCCAGTGTTCATGGCTCTGTCCTTCGCCATACCTGCTCCCGGCCCAGCACACCACGGGCCGCCCCTCGTGACTGTAGTGGTTCCTCCAGCCGGCCCTCCGGTGCTGTCCGCCCTCCCCAGGACTCCCCTGGTGGAAGGACAGGATGGCCGCGGCCCAAACTGGACTGCGGCTTCCAACGTCTTTGGCCAGATGATGACAGCAGTGGGGCCTGTGAACGCCCCTCGGGCACAGACCTTGGTCCTAACTCGGGCCCCCCTGGTCTGGCAGGCTCCAGGTGCCGTCTGTCAGGGCGTCGCATGTCCACCTCCCCGACCCGTGGCATCTGCCCCTGTGGTGCCCGCTATGGCTGCCCACATCGTTGGGGGCACCCAGGCCTGCATGGGAGGCTGGTCCCAGGGCCTTCCTCCTCCAGCACCACCACCGGCTCCCCAGCTGGCCCCCATCATGGCCCCAGGGAATGCTTGTCCATGGCCACAAGGGGCTCACGGAGAGGGCAGCCAGGCTCCCTCCCAGGTCAAGGCCCAACCGGACGACTCCCACAACCCCAAGAGCGTGTATGAGAACTTCCGACTCTGGCAGCGCTACAAGCCCCTGGCCCGGAGGCACCTTCCCCAGAGTCCAGACACGGAAGCACTTTCCTGTTTCTACATGTGAGTGTCCTCGGGGCCCCGGAGCTCATCCTGCAGCTCACCCATAAAAGAGGCTGCCGGATGGACGGGAGGTCACACTCTTCAGGGGATCTTGCGGGGCGGTCTGGAAGGCGACGGGTGGAGCTACCGAAGGGCACATTTTCAGCAACATACATCTGGCGGCCGCTCAGGACACACTCTCAGGGGCTTCACCTCACCTGCCCCTCACTGTCCCATGAGTCCAGCCAATCCTTTCTTACCGGGCAGGTATCTGCAGCTTTGCCCTTGATCCCTTCTAGAAAAAGGGACAATGATGCTTCATTCAGAGGATGGTGAAGAGGTGACTTGAGCTCACATATGACGCATGTAGCATGGTGCCCAGCACGTGCTGTGACACATCACATGACAGCTGTTACGATTACCACCCACCCACCCCCCCCCCCCACATTACTATCGTTATCAGGACTAGACCATCTAGAACAGCGCTCTCCAAAGCCACCGGCTCCAGTGATGGCTCTGAGTGCACCACCACGAGCCCGGCAGCCCAGGGCCGTGGACTGTGGTGACTGAGGCAGCAATGCCAGCATCTGAGAGTTTGTTGATTCAGTCCTAGTACTCCCTCTCTCCATCCTGCAGTGCCTCTGTGACCCCGTGTCCCCCGCGATGAGCAAACCCGTACTCCACGGGAGCTTGAGCACACCCACCAGGCAACACATTGGCCAGTCCCCTAGCCAAGTCCCCTGCCCAGGGTGTAGGTGTTAAGGAGGCCCCATCTCTGTCCCAAAAAATCTTGCCGCCCTGCATCCTGGAACTGCTTGCATTCTCCATTGGAGCTGAGTCCAGGTGCACTGGGGGATCCTGATTCTCAGAGTGGAGTCGCCCCGGGCTCACAGGCTTGGCGTGGACTGGGCTTCGATGCCGCTCTGCCTTGGTTCTGGTTTCTGCTCCTCTCCAGGACCCTGAGGCTGCGTCCGCAGGGGCTGCCTTGCTGCCTTGCTCCACAGTCCCCAGGAAGCTGGTTAAATCCTCAGTCCTGGGGCCCTGGAACCTGCACGTTAACCCTCGCTCCCCCGTCATTCTGTGTGTGCCCTGTCTCAGCCAGTTCGGGCTCTACCATAACAAGTCCTATAGACTGGGTGCTTTACTGGGACACATTCGCATCTCCCAGTTCCAGAGGCCGGAAGTCCCAGATCAAGGCGACAGAACATTGGTGGCCTGGATGCAGAGGGCTGCCTCTGGCTATGTCCTCCTGCGGCTAAGAGGGAGAGCCCTGGTGTCTCCTCCTGCCCTTATCGGGGCTCAGATGCCATGATGGGAACCCACCCTCATGACCTGCTCTAACCCTGATGAATTCCAAGCACTGAAACACCGGGGCTTAGGGCTTCAGCACAGGAATGATGGGGACACTCACGTTCCACCCGTAGTACTGAGTTCACTTGTCAACACGGTAATACTGGGGACTCGAGGGGCAGCTGGCGAGGCCAGCCGGTGGCTTGTGTTGATGACTCATCTTGGGAGGCATATCCCACCCACGTGGGGGAGAACAGGACAGGGACCGGGTGTTGGGACCAGGTGGGCTTGGGATGGAGGGTGGGCTTACGGACTGGGACTGACCGCACCGCCTTACAGCCCGGTTCTCAGATCCCTGGCCCGGCGGAAGCCCAGCATGACCATGGAGGAGGGACTGCGGTGGGCCATGCGGGAATGGCAGCACACAAGCAACTCTGAACGCAAGATCTTCTACCAGATGGCGGCAAAGTGAGTCTGGGGTGCAGGGGCAGAGCCCACACGGCACGGTGAGAGAGGGTGACAGAGGCCGGGTGGCCGTGGTGACTTTTCAGCGTGGAGCATGAGAAGGGTGTGGACAAACACAGGCCCTCCTGGGCCCCTGGCGCCCTCACGAAGCTGCTCCTCCCTCCTACAGTGCTCTGGGGTCTCTATCCTGCCCTGGTGGGCCAACCCCTGCCTGACACTAAGGGTCAGGGAGGGAGCAGCCCAAAGGAGATCACCGACAGCTGTGAGGATGGGGAGAAGGGGCTCTGGCAACTATACGCAGAGTGGGGTGCACTCTCCTGACAGCAGAGGCCAGAGGTCGGTTTTCACCCATCCCAGCCTGGCCAGGAGTGGAGACACCTGCGCTGGGTCAGGGGAGACCTGCGTCCAGGACACCATGAGTCCCATCTCTGGCCTGCCTGCTTTTGCTCTTCGTAGTCCCCTCCTTTAAGACACAAAGACAGCAGCCTCAGCCTCAGGGGAAAGGGGCCCTGTCTTTTGGGCCCAGCTTTTGCTTCCTCCCGACCAGGGGTCTCCCAGGCCTCATCTTCCCGGGTTATCCTTCAGGGACCCAGAGTCCCAACCTCAGGAGTCCTGCATCTGGGCAACATCGTGGACGCCTTCTGCCAGAAACCCGACCCCCGGCCAGCTGAAGGCTGGAGGAGGGGCACCCGTGGTACCCTCCTGGGCCTTGTAGCCCTCACTTAACTCAGAAAGCCCTGCGGATGCCATGGGCTCTGTAGGGGCCGGGTCAGGGAGGGAGCGCCCAAAACTCTGGGAGCGGTTCCCTCTAGGACTGGGGGATGGGCCCCAGGGAGGGCCTGGACCCTCTCAGCACGGCCTGCACCTTCTTCACCCCAGGTTCCTGGAGTTTGAGGCTGAGGAGATGCAGATTCAGAAGTCACAGTGGATGAAGGGGTCCCAGGGCCGGCCTCCTCCAGCCCTGCCAAGGCTTGAACCCCAGGGACCGTCAGCCCCTGAGGTGGTCAAGGAGCCAGGTAACAGCTTCCCACATTCCCACGGGAGCCACGGCAAAGGCCAGAAGGGCCAAGGGAGGCCACTGTCCCCACACCCCATGCCTCCCTTCAAGAGAGGGATTTGTTCCTTCCAACAAGACAGCTCAGGGGAGCGGGGGGGGGGGGGGGAGTGCTGGGCTGCCCGTGGTCATGAAGTGGGTATTCACCTGGTCACGTTTCCTAGCTACTCTCTCTCCTCGCCATTCCAAAACTCAAAAATCTGCCCAGGAAGCAGGGATGAGCGGGTAGAGTACTCAGCGTCTATCAGTGACTCCAAGCTTCCTCCAAAATGATGCTGTCTCACAGGTGCCCCGCCTATGGCGTCTCTTCCAGGGGCGCTGTGGTTCAGGTGGTCCTGACACAGCTCGGACCCACTTCGGGTCCCTGAGCCCTGCCCTCCCCTGTGTGATGCAGGCAGGAGGAGCAGCCCTCACCATGCCCATCCTCCTCCCTCCCTGCCTCAGTGGACCTTCCCAGCAAGGCCGGCCCCAAGGCCCTGCCTGCCTGCCTGCCACCACACACGCCCCAGAGGCCAGCGGAGACCAAGGCCCACCTGCCACCACCCAGGCCCCAGCAGCCGGCGGAGACCAAGGCCCCCGAGGAGATACCCCCTCAAGTGGTGCAGGAGTATGTGGACATCATGGAGGAGCTGCTGGGGACCCCCGTTGGGGCCACGGGGGAGCTCGAGGGACAATGGGAAGAGGACGAAGCGGAGCAGCAAGGGGATGGGATGCTCCTAGACCCAGGCGTCCTGAGCTGCGTCGACCATCTGTGTTCCCAGAGAGACTTCGTCACCAAGGTGGGCTGGCCTCAAGTGCTGGGGTCTGCAGGATTCCAGGGGGTGGCACTCGCAGGTCTTTGGAATTAAGCTCCGTTCCCTAGCGACTCCGCAGTAGATGGCTGTGTGTGTTGCCGTCCATTTGAGGGTCTGTGCACGTTAGTGTGTCTGTGTCTTTGTATCTGCGACTGGTTACTGTGTCGGTGTGGGTGTGAGTGTGGAGTGTGTATGTTACTTGTGTCTATTTTCCTGTGTCATATGTGGGTCTGTTTGTGTGCTGTGTGTGGCTTGTGTGTCTCTGTCTGCATGTGTGTAGGCTACCAGGTCTGTGGTCTGTGTGTGAAGCTGGTGGTCGCCCTGATATAACACAGCTCCAGAAGGGTGGGGACGGGGCCCTCACTGCTTTCTGCATCTCCTCCAGGTGTCCTTGGCTCCACCTTACTCCCTGCCCGGGAACCTCACGCCCCCGCCGTCTTCCTTCTGTTTCCAGGTGGAGGCCGTCATTCACCCCCGATTCCTGGAGGAATTGCTTTCTCCAGATCCAAAGATGGATTTCTTGGCCCTAAGCCAAGAGCTGGAGCAGGAGGAAGGACTCACCCTTGCCCAGGTAGAGCAGGGAGGGAGGGGAACCCAGGTGCCCCACCTGACTGCCTACACCAACCCTCTGGGGGATGCTCGGCTTCTTGGGGGACGCTCCGAGGTGGGGAGGTGCAGGTTCAGACGGAGCAGGATGGAGAGGAGCCAGGGAGGGGAGTCAGGATGCAAACTGCAGTGAGGCCCAGCAAGATGCCTGGCAGAGACACACCCTCTGTCTCTGACAGAAAGCCCAGCTGCCTCAGGCTTCCCTGCCTGCCGCCCAAGTGCCTTGGTCTCCACCACCCTGGGCCCTGTTCACACGTGGGGCAGCGCCAGAAAATGCCCCGTTTCCTCCCGCAGGTGGCAGAGAAGCGCCTCCAATCCTTGGAGGAGGAACGGCCTAAGAGGGCAGCCCCTAGTCATGGCACCACCCAGCTGGACTCCATTTCTTCCAAGTCTGCAGCAGGCCGAGGAGCAGAGAGAGATGTCCCTGGCCCCCAACAAGGGGTCAGCATGGAAACCTGCCCACCCCACACGGCTGCCCGGGACCCTCAGGGACAAGGCAGAGTGTGCACTGGGGTGGCCAAAAACCCGGTGGTGGTTTTGGAGAGGCTGGATTCTGGCAGGCTCAGGGCCGCCCTGCCAGACTCTCCTCCCCGGGACCAGAGACCCACCTGCCCAGACGTGGGGACTCAGGACACCTGGGGTCTCCCTGGAGCCTCTCCCTTCAAGGAGTCACGCAGGCTGTGTAAGCGGTCAAGTGGGGAGGAGAGGGAGATCCCTGGCATGGTTTCTGTCGTGGGGACCCACTACAGGCTGCGGCCCTGGAAGCTGTCCCAGAGCCCTATCCCTGCCTCAGGCCTTCTCAGTCCAGAAGGGCGGGGACCCCAGGGAGCTCTTCAGTCCCAAAGGGCAAAGAGAAGAGGCCTCAGCCCAGCACCAGCACCGGCTCCCGCTCCCGCCACCACCTCCAAGAAGCGAGCTCTCTGCAGAGGCCTATCCCCTGCTGTTCAGACGCCCCACCTAAGGCCTGGGCTCAGAGTCTCTGGGGCACAATCCCCGGCTTGGGGGCCACGTAACACCTCACAGTCTCCAAAGAGAAAGGGTGACCCCTTGCTCTCTAAGAGCAAGAAAAAGCAGCATCGTAGCCAG